CCAGGCTACTCCTTGGAGGCAAGGATTCTGGGGCTTTGTCTGACATACTTTGGACATGTTGCAAGGAGAGACAGGTCTTTGGAGAGGGACATCATGCTTGGTAGAGTAGAGGGACAGCGCAGGAGGGCAAGACCCTCTATGAGGTGGATTGATTCAGTGACTGGGGTAATCGGGATGGGTGTGTCAGAGGCCTTGGGATTGGCACAGGATAGAACAGGGTTTAGGGCTGTTGTACATAGGGTTGCTATGAGTTGCAAAGGACTCAAAGGCACATAACAACAAACAATTCATGTCTCTGTGATCTCCAAGTCCTCTGCTTCCTTCCTCTCCTTTTGTCATTTGTTAGATAAAAGTTGTTGTAGATCATGTTGTTGTTTTTAGATGACTATGACTCATAGTGATCATCTAAACAACTGATCTGAACCTTGCCCTCTCTTGAGCTATCCTCACCATCTCTGATAATGCTGGAGGCCATTGTTACAATAACTGTGTCAGTCCTTCTTGTTGAGAGTCTTCCTCTCTTTCTATGACCTTCCACCTTTCCCCAACATGATGTCTTTTTCCAAGAAGTAGCCTCTCCTACGGCATGCCAAAATGTGTGACACAAAAGTTTTACTATCCTTCCCTCTAAGGATCACCAAGGTTGCACTTCCTCCTAGACAGAGTTAGGAGGCCATACCTCAGGGAAATTCTCCTTTCATCATATCAGTTCTGTGACCTATTTAAAGATATTGTACCTTACCCTAATCCCTTTACAACTGATTTGGTTAATCACAGGTCAAATCTGTGACTATGTCTTTATATAAGTCTTGTTTCAGTAACATCATAGAGGTTAAGATTTACAACATGTAAAATAGTTACATTATTAGTTGACACATAGTTGGGGGGACACAATTCAATCCATGATAAGGGTTAAATCTTTAGAGGACACTTCTTATAAAAGTGGAAAATAATTTCATACTATTTAATGGCAGTTACTAGAAGAAAGGCTCTTTGGTAATGTCTGACCAAATGCCTGTGAGTCATATTTGTTGAACATGATAAATACAAGACATATCATGATAGGATATAGTCAAATATGTGATCAGGTGGAGATTGCTAGAGAACATTTTCTGCCACCTTGTAATTATTCCTGAAATTGTGATTATGTGGCCAGCATAGTGTTTGTCTTTACAAGATGAATAGAAGTTCTAAATATTCACACATGTTTGTTTTATGATAGGGATTGAAAGAGGCTTCTGAATAATTTTCAGAATTACTCTACCTTTTCACCCTAAGCAAGCCTGGAATTTATCCAGTCAAACAACCCTTGCATGTTCATACCTTTCAGAATGAATCATCTTCCTTTCCTTTAGTGAGAGAAGTGTTCTGTTGACTGTTTCTGGCAAGATTTCCACAAATGTTTTTTTTTCTGAAGTCTTTCCAGTACTTTGCTTCAGTTGAACCTAAGGGGTGCTTGATCTTCCTAAAGGAGACCACTGAATTTCACAACTAACACACAGTTGTTCGTGTTAAAAGACAGTAGATTCAGATTCTTTTCTGGGAACATATCAAGTATCGCTTTTTTCAAAATTGCTTTCATTATATGATGCCAGAGATTGCAGGTAAGAATGAATACTAAGAACTGGGGAAAGGTATAGGTTTTGTTCTTGCTTGTAAAGCATAATCCTCTTTGTTTGACTGTGAAATAGAGTGTACTTGTCTGAATATTGAGGTGAAATCTGGGATATTGATCTATCTGGAAATTAAAGTTTGTCCCAACTAGCCCAAACTTTTTTTTTTCAAACTTTTTGTTTTTAATCTTTCACAGTATCCAGATATCAGTCAAGAATCTGATTCTCCTTTTGTTTTCATCTGCACAAATCCCCAGGAGATGATTGTGAAGTTTCCTATTAAAGGCAATCCAAAAATTTGTAAGTTATAATTTCTGATGGTAAAATGTATTTCTTTTTGTCTTGCATTTTACTTCTGTCATTTTATATCCCCCCTCCCCCCGTTTACTCTGTTCTGAGGTGTGTTTAGTGTTAGAGGATTGTAAAAAAAAAAAAAACAGTGTGGAGAGGGTCGAATCTAACCACTGCTAACTCTACAAAAGAGAACTGTCCCCATCAACAACATCTTCAATGTAAAACTGATCTCTTATCAGGTCAGACATGGTCCCCCATGCTGCTGTACCTACTTCTACTAATCACTGGGGCGAATATTCATTGAAAGTAACTTACAGACTTTATTCGCAATTCTGGGGTCCATTAAGGAAATAGGTTGGGAGTGGAGTAGCTAAAGGATATCACACAGTGAAATTCCAGGTTTAGTTAACAGCAGTCCCAAGCCAGGTTAACAGAAAGACACAGTGCTGCAATTAGTTCAGAGAGCTTCTCAGTCAGCAAGTGAAAGTCCGGGTTAAGCTCAATAACACAGATTCAAGAAGACTCTCATTTCTCAATAGTCAAGCATGCTTTGTCTCATAGTATTCACAAGTCAGCTCTTTGTTCAATTGTTTCACAAGCAAAACCTTTGACTCTGGGTCTGTCTCCAGGGCTCCATTTGGTTATGCCTCTTTACAGTCTCTGTACTGTCTTTTTAGGTTTCTCTCACAAGCTAATGATGATGTTAAAGACACTGATCAACTTCTAACCATGTGCCTGCAGTTGAGGCACCTGGAGACCATGCCCCTGGTGTGTGTGTGTGTGTGTGTGTGTGTGTGCACGCGTGTTGTTAAGGCATTGGATAGAAAAGCCATTTTCAAAAGTCTTAACAGTAAAAGGATTAATATACTTATTGGTAACTTTAATTTTAGGTTACCTACAATATAGTCTTTCAAAATGTACTTTGATCTACAATTATTGACATGATCATGTATCACTTGTTTCTTCTCTTTGGGACCCTATTACCTTAAAAATGCCATTTATCATAAAAATGTATACTTTGCCTCACTGCACTACTTATTAAAGGAAATAGTAAACCAGTTCTGTTGACCAAATTGTAGCTTATTTATTGTTCCTCATGTCCAATCCAAGAACAACACATTTTTGTGTGTGTACTGTCGAATTGGATCTGACTGTCACAGGAGGAGATTGCCCTTCTTTCTCCAGTGGAGCATCTGGTGGATTCAAACCGTACACCTTTAGGATTGCAGGGCAACTTCTTGCCACTAGGCCACCAGAACTCCCTAGAACAACACTTTTTTTTTTCCAGAACAACACTTTTTAACACTCCTTTATTATCGGTTTTGGAAGTCTGATTTTCCACATTTTCTTTGGCTATTGAGTCTATAGGCGCTCTGGTAGCACAGTAGATTAGGTATTGTAATGCTCACCATAAAGGTCAGCTGTTCAAATCCACCAGCCACTCTGAAGGAGAAAGTTGTTGCAGCCTACTCCTGTAATGCTTTATAAACTCAGAAACCCTGTGAGCAGTATTCTGTAGGGTTTCTGTGAGTTGGCAACAGCAGTGATTGGCACTCTGCCAGAACCCTTTTTTCCTGGCCTGTTTTTGATACCTCTTTCAACTTCTAGTTCTACTTCAACTCTCAACTTCTCTTCCTCCATCTAGTATGACAGTATAGCAGTCTATTCTATTTAAAAGCAATTTCAAAAAAGCAAATAGCAGTGCCCTCTCCATCTAACTTTCTTTTAACAAAACTATCACTTCTCAACTCAAATGACCACATTCTCTTGTGTAATTTACCTTTGTTTTATACATGTGTTGCCTTCCAGTTCTGTGAATTGAATGATTCTGGGGCAGGCATTCCCTTTAGCTGTGTACAACTTTCCTCACTCTGAACCTTGGTAACAAGTAGCCACTTGGTCTGCTCCCTAGAGAAGTACTTCGCAAACTATAATGAGAATAAAAATCACTTAGAGAGCTGTAGAAATTCAAATTGCTGGACTATGCTCTCCGGTAGTACTGATGCTGTTTTCTTTTTTTTTTTTTAATTTTTATTTATTTTTTTTATGTGTGTACCGTCAAATTGGATCTGACTGGTATAGGAGACGATTGTTCCTCCTTCAGCAGAGCATCTGGTGGGTTTGAACCGCGCACCTCTGGGATTGCAGTGCTGTTTCCTGCCACTAGGCCACCAGAGCTCGCCTGATGCTGTTTTCTATTACAAGATAAAATACTTGGAATCTTATCACTTGATAGGTGCCATCAAATCAAGTATAACCCATAGCGACCAACCCTGTGAACACAGACCTGAACTCAGTCCTATCCTGTGCCATCCTTAAAATTTCTGATACACTCCAGCCTATTGTTGCAGTCACTTTGTCAGTCCCTTTGGTTGAAGGTCTTCCTCTCCTTCACTGTCCTTCCACCTTTCCAAGCATGATGTCAGTCTCTAAGGAATAATTCTCTTAGCAACATGCCCAGTGTATGTGAGATGAAGCTTTCTCACCTTTGCCTCCAAGGAGCACTTTGGCTGCACCTTCTCCAAGATATATCGATTTGTTCTTTTGATAGTATTTGGAAACCTAGGTTATTGTATATTCAGGCATCTCATGATTTATAATATAAATATTTATAAATTTATAACTTATGTATTTAAGATTCTTAAAATTACAGATTCTTGACTTAACATAAATTATTTACTTCAGGCGGAACCCCAAGTGGCCCTGGAAATTCTTTTCTCTCATCCACTATCAAATCTTCCTTTTCTTCTTCCTCTTTCTTAGTCATTGTATTCTACACTTTCTAACTCTTTTCTAGTCTTTGTTTTTTACTCTGTTCTAGTCTCAAACTTATTTTAGCAGTGGTGGAAGGAGGAAAGGGTGCTAGGCTTTCTTTCCCCAACCCACTGTTGCTTGATCTGCATTTACAGTTCCCTTTTCTTGGATTCCTATCTTGATTGTCTTCTGCTGTGAAAAAAAAAGCTTCATATAAACAGAGTTTAAATATGTATCAGAAGTATTTGACTTAAGTATTTTCTCTACCCCAGAGGCCTACTTACCTTTAGTACATATAGGGTCATCATTTGTTCCCTCTATAAGGTTTAATAAACTCAAAACTCAAACTCATTGGCCTGAAGTTGGAGCTGACTCTTAGCTGGCCTGAAGTGAGTTTTTCAAGGCTGTATATTGCCCAGGAGGAGACTGCCTACCTTTCTCAGAGCAGTTGCTGGACTTGAACTGCTAGAGCTACCTTTCGGTTAGCAGCACAGCTCCTTACATCATATATGATGTTGTTATTGTTATGTGCCCTTGAGTTAGAAGTGACTCACAAAAAAAAAAAAAGAAGTGACTCACAGTTGACCCTCCCAGCAGGTTATTAGAAGCTTTAAATTGCACAGTGAATTGCATAGAAGGAGGTTTTCTGTCTTTTCGTGGAGTGGCTGGTAGATTTGAACCATGTGTCTTTGTGTTGGCAGCACAACGAAACCACGAGAGCTCCCTCACATAGTACATAGGGAAAGGAAAATGTGCCGTCGAGTTGCCTGTGATTCATAGTGACCCTATGTACAGCAGTTCTGAAGTCTGCCCTGTCCTGAACCAGTCTCATGGACTCCTACACACCTAGCCCCATTGCCTCAGTTACTGTATCAGTCCATCTCATCTGAGGTCTTCCTCTCCTGTGCTGTTCCTCCACCCTTCTGAGCATGATGTCCTTCTCCAAGGTCACTCCTGGCCACATTCCCAAAGTATGTGAGATGGAGCTTCAAAACCCTAGCCTCCAAGGAGAAACCAAGAAAGACCTATTTGTTTTCTTTTCTTGGAGGCCCATGATATGTTCTAAAGCTTCTATTACCTCCTTTTTTCAGACCCGTGGAAGCAGCAGTCAAGAAATTAAAAAAAAATATTGTAAAAATGTTTTATTAGGCAAGTCAGCTGTCAAAGCGGACTTGTTTTTGAATTGTGGCATTGTAAAGAGTGTTGAACGGACTGCCAAAAGAACAAACAAATCTGTCTTGGAAAAGTGTTCCTGAGAGGCAAGGATTTTGAAACTTCTCCCATATTCAGTGCGTGCTGTTAGGAAATGCCAGTCCTTGGGAAAAAAGTGATCATGCTTGAAAAATTAGAGGTTCAGAGAAAGAGAGAATGACCCTGATGAGATGAATTGACATAGTGACTGCAACAATGGGTGTGAGCATTGCAGAAATCATTAGGATGGTTTCCATCTGTTGTCACTAGAATTGGAGTTGACTCACCACCATTTTATTTTTCCTGGTTACTGTTAGTTAAAATCTTTAACTAGCTTGGTGGGCTTTGTGCTTGCTTCAGGAAAAGCAGTGAGATTGCGTTTCTTCCCTGATACACTAGCACAGTGAAGCATTGCAGTGGTCCAAAACAATAGATAGAAAAGTTTGGAAAAGCAAAGTTGGCCAATACCTGTGTTTAAGAAACAATTTTCTATTGAGAGGAAGCCAGTTTCCCTGGAGGTTTAATCTGATGTGAAGTTTATATTCCCTGTACCTCTTTTTCCCCCCCCTCCCCTATCTTGACTGTCTCTAAAAATCTGCTCCTCCCTTAAGCCTTAGGGACAACCTCCAGTTACTTAAGAGTTGTAAAAGTTTTTCATTCCATTGCCTCAGGGGGAACACACGGACACACACACAGACACACACACACACACACTTACATTTGCCTCTTCATTAGAGTATTTATCACATTTGTCCTTAGATATATTGTTAAGGAAAGTAGTTAAGCCCTTATGTTGTTGTTGTTGTTGTTGTTGTTGTTGTTGTTGTTGTTGTTGTCGTGTCTTCCAGCCCACCAGGACTCATAAAACTCTATGATCAATGGCTCTGAACCTTGCCCTATCCTGAGCCAACCTCACCATCTCTGACACATCCTGACCCCACCCCCACTGTCACTGTTGTCAATCCATCTCATTCAGGGTCTTCCTTTCCTGTGTGACCCTCCACCCTTCCAAGCATGGTATGCTTTTCCAAGGACTGATCCCTTCTGGCAACATGGTCAAAGTATGAGAGGTGGAGTTTCAAAATCTTTGTCTTCAAGGAGCAAACTAGTTTCACTGCTTCAGGACAGACCTGTTTGTTCTCTTGGCAGTTCATGGTTTGCTCAATACTAACCTTCAACACCAAGGCTCAAAGGCATTGATTCTTCTTCTGTCATCCTTAGTCATTGTCCGGCTCTCAGATACATAGCCATAGTATTAATAATATAGTCTACTTCACTGATCTAGAGTCCCTGAGTGGCATAAATAGTTGTTAAGAACTTGACTATCAGCTGAAAGGTTGGGGTTTGAACTCAGAGGTGTGTCCCTTAGAAGACAGGTGGGTAATCTGCAGTGCTGCTCAGCATACATGGGGTATAACAACATCTTCACCTAAAGCACTGTGGCCTGTATGTTTTTTGTGAGATGGCTTAAGAATCTAGCCACTCTATAGCTTGGTTATCTAAGAAATGTATTATTCCAAATTCCAAACTTTTGACTTGCAGATGAACTTTTAAGATGGAAACTATTTATTTGTTGTATCATGTATATAGGGAGCTCTGGTGGCTTAGAGGTAAGGAATTGTGCTTCCAGTGCACTCCCTTTCGAATCTACTAGCTGCCCTGTGGGAGAAAAATAGGCAGTCTCTCATCCAACCTGCTGGAAGGCTGGCTCTGAGTTGGTTCTGACAGTGGTACACACAACAACATCATGTATATATTTTAATTTGCTTATGTGTTTGGATATATGAACTTGAGCTTGCTTAATCAGAGAATAATGTTTTTTCTTGACACTGAAATAATTTTAAAAAGCACTGTACAATATATTGCATGGCTCTGTGTCTGCTCAGATTAAGAAGCACAAAGAAGTATAATAAAATAAATAATTTTGAATGCCCAAAGAGAGAAGGCAAATCTTTTTATTATAGATTAACTATATGGTCTATAATCATATGCAAATACTACCTTATATTTTACACAAAGTATATGAAAATTCCTTTGAGAGTTGTATCAATCAATGATAAATATTTTTTCCCCTTTTAATTCTCTCCCATCTGGTGTATAGGCATTTGATTTTCTTTTAGACACTCTGAGGATATTGTTGGATGTTGAAATGCTGCAAGTACTGAATGTAAAAGTATTGGGGAAAATAACAAAAACTAAATGTTACCACCCTATTCCTAAAAGTATGTATTGCCATAGTTTACTGCCTAGATCTTAAATATTGAAACACCAGGCTAATCTAAAATCAAGGGCTCAGAGTTCCTACAATCCAAGAGCAGCAACTCTGGTAACTACTACTTCAAGTACGAGTCCCAGTCATGTTCCTAATCTCTTTTCCCTTTGCCTTCATTGCTCACAGCTGGCCCAAGATTTACTTTATTGGCAGCCACTGTGATAATATTAGTGATCATTTTATTTATTTTTTTCCAGTTTTAGAGCATGATATCATAGTAAGAGGGAGCCGTGGTGGCACCTAGTAGATAAGGAATTGCACGGGCAACCCAAGGACAGGCAGTTCAGAATGAGGAAGAGAGATGGACTGTCTCTTGTTCAGTTAACAGCCTCTCAAAATCCACTGAAGGGTCAGCCATGACTTGGTTCTGATTCAGTGGTATATAAAAAGAACAACATCAAAGTAGGCTTTTAAGACTGTGAGTAGGTGATTAGAGTAGTAAGTTATACAGCTAGTCAGTCTTAGGACTGAAAGAGGACCAATTGTTTTCCATCTTACTCATTATAGAGAATTGAAAGTCTGAAGCCCTACATTCATGAATTCTAAATTCTGTACTGGCTTGGTCTATAAAGCATAATCCTTGATATCACCACTTTCATGATTGCTATTTGCAATACTTGTTTTCAGGGGAGCTCTAGTGGCCTAATGCATTGTGTGTTACACTGCTAACCTGCACATCCCCTCTTGTAAAGATTAAAAGTCTCAGAAACCCAATGGAGAGTTGCTGTGAGTCAGAATCTATTAGGTGAAAATGATGGTTTTTTTAAAAAAAGTATTATTTTCAAATACTCCCTATATCATAGAGTTTTGAAATTTGTAGTTTATCTCTTTGTTGAATTCATTTGTTGAAAACATTTATTGAGCATCTACCGTTTGGCAGTCACTATGGTAGGTGTTAAGAGATACAGAGAGAACATGCACTGTAATCGGGCTCATTGCCAGATTACTGGCACATAACAGCATTTTCAGCGAGGCAGGCTTTGTGATGAAAGAATCTCTGGGAATACCCTATGCTCTGAAGCTGCACTTAAAATCAGCAGCATTGTGACTGTGGTGGACATCTTTCAGGATATCACTTAGTGACAATTTCTGAGGAAGTAACATTATTCCAGAAACAGATAAACCCTATTTTTTGTTGTGTATCACAATATCCTGGTGCAGTGATCAGGACATAAATTTCTTTTCTTTCCTCTCTCTCTTTCTTGGGAACTTGTTGTTCGGTTTTTAAAAAATTTTTATTTTATATTGGTTTGTGTGTAAAATTAATATACATTGAATTTAACTTATGTACATTGTGTTTTCTATTATAATTATTATACATTGTGTTTTATAAAATCAATTTTCATTTATCTGTGTTTATTATTCCATCCTTTCAGGTCCCCATTGGATTTTTCCTACTTCCTCCAACAGCTCCAAACTCTGTCATCCCAGTGATTTTCCCCCTCTCCCGCACACTCCACACTCCTGTCCCACTCCCCTTTCCCTTCTGGACTTTTACACACATCTTACTAGTTAACCCTTCTATTTTTACAATATTGGTCTTATGCAGTATTTGTCCTTACAAGTGAGTTAGTTTACTGAGCATAATGCTCTCTAGCCTCTCCCATGTTATATAGTATTTTATGCAATCGTTGTTCCTTAGTGCTGCATAGTATTCCATTGTGTCAATATACCATAATTTCTCAATCCATTTGTTTGTTGATGGACATTTGGGCTTTAGTAAATGTTTTCTTATCTTACCTGTCCTACAATGTAAGGTGAAGTTAGTTAGACAAATGAGAATATTGAAGTCTAGGGAGAAATATTAAATGACTTGCCCCAGGACATACAGCTAGTTAATATCAGAGAAAGGTAGACTAAGTAGAATCTGAGTCTCCTTCTAGTTTTGTGTTCTTTCTATTACAAATAATTGCTGCAATAAATGAAAACAGCAGGTCTGAGGGACGGTGATTGTAGGTACAGCCCTGTGTAATGTATACTTCATCGCCCTTGAAAGGAGGCTCTTTTTATTTTGGTTTTGAGTGCAGAAGCAGAATGGAACTACTTTTGTTTCCCATGCCCACATCACTTTTGGTATAGGTGACTTTTTGTGGGATACAGCATACTGCAAGATCTGCCCTCAGCCCTCTTAAAATTCTCTTCATGAGATGAATGGCTCCTACTGTTGCTACTACTGAACCAAATTCTACCCTGGTAGATTTGAAGAGTCAGAGGTCAGAGACCAGATCAGTAAAGAATCTCTTATTAGCGTCACCTGGGACAGAAAAGTTGCTTGTTTTTTAAGTTTAACACTTAGAAGAGTCATACAGCCTATGACCTTTGCCCTTCTTAGTTGGTGATAGTGGCCCTTTGTCAGTAGAGCATTCAAGTGGATTCTGCTCTACTGTTTCAGGTCACTCCCCCTATTAAGTCTGAGGCAGCAAAGGAGTGAGTTGAACTTCTTTCCCACTGTGAGGGAGGTTCATGCATTATGCTCAGCCAGTTAACAGGTCAGAGGAATGGGTTTCCCACTGTGCAAAATACATGTGTGTAATAAGTGTAGCTTAAAATTTTTCCATTGCTATCCATCAGAAATCCTGGGGGAAAAAATGTGATATATCTTCTCTAGTACCTACAGAATGAGAAAAGATAAACTTCTTAGATTCGTTGGGCACTCTGTGTGTGTCTGTGTGTTCCCTTATACAATGTTCCCACTGCCGGCTCTTTCTTACAGAAATGAAATTCTGAAGTTTGGGAAGTCTCTGAATCCTAAAGCAAGATAATTGAATGTGACAGGAACACAGTAACCAGAAGACCTAGGAGGCCACGAGTGATTTGCATTGCAAATATATAAAAAAATAAATAATGAGACTTCTTTTTTTCTCTTACAGGGAAGCTGGATTCCAAGATCCATCAAGGAGCAAAGAAGGGGTTAATGAAGCAGAATAAAGCTGTCTGACCCAGGAGAAAAGCAACTATACAGCATACTGGAGTTTTGTGGACTAAATTGCTATCCACTGGTCCTTTGGAATTGAAGCAATAAAGGCTTGACATTAGGCTTGAATCGCTCTGAATTTAAACTCTTAACCAGATTCTGTATATTTTTTTCTTAAAGAATGGGGTTCTTTCTGTCAAAGTCTTTGAATACATTATTTATAAAAACCGATTTAAAAATTTCTCCGTCATGCTCAGTTTTTGTTGAATAGTACTGGAGAATAGAAAAAATTAAGGTGGAATTTCCTCTTTGTGGCTTGAATTAGTCAGAAAACTCTTAACCTCAAAATTATTTTTTGAGGGACCACTTAGATTTGAAGATTTCTTTTCAAAATGATAGCCCAGTGAAGTAGTAAGGACCTTTAGAAATTCTTTGTTTAATGCAGGTGTTTTTTGATGAGTTTTTGTCAGAATAGTATTGGAGAAAAGAAAGAAAGAAGTTGGAATTTCCTCTTTGTGGCTTGAATTTGTTATTAAGAAAACTCTTAACCTAGGTTAATGATTTTTTGAGGGACCAGTTATATTTTAAGGTTTCTTTTCAAAATGATAGCCCAGTGGGGTAGTAAGGGCCTTTAGAAATTTTTTGTTTAATGCAGATGTGTTTTGATGAGATGAAAAGATTTTTTTAAAATATTTCCTGCTTTAGTCCAACTTCTCTAAAGTGAGTAGTCGTCAGAAACTTTTCACAAGCAACATTATCCTCTTGATGGATAACCTAAAGAAATTTTGCTGTTTTATTCTTTGGTTTGAGAAGCTAGGACTTGAGAGAATTGAACTGGGAGGAAATGGGGTCACCTGCTGAATCACTTTCACAGCTGCTCTATTTTGTTGATATCACAAAAGCAACACTTAGAAATGGCAATTAGAAACAAACAAAAATAAAATCTCTTCAGAAAATGCAAGTAAATACCTTCCAGCCCTGAAACAAAAATCTTTAAAGCGTCCACACTCGTATGAATTGTGAGCTTTGGAAAAACAGGAGGTTGATTTGAAATGAGATTTTTGCTAGTCGATCCAGCCCCATTTAGAGAAGCATTTTGTTTCTGATGCTGTTCTGAATTGCTGTCAGAATCTCAGTTGTTGGCACCTTGAAGAAATTCATGGTCTTAAGTGTGTATGTTCTGCTTTTTATAAAGCAGCACCATCACACTGGGGAAGTTGGATTCCCTCCAGCATTTGCGTGCCTGACTTTAAAAAAAGAAAAAGGGGGGGGAAGTACCCTGTGTTATGAAAAAAAGATTAATTTCCCCTTTCTTTAATCCTTCATATTCAACGTTTATTTGCATTGAAATGCCTCCACTCATTATGCATTGATGTTCACTCAACTGTGAACCTTGCTTGTTGCATAGCTCTAGGCATTGGTTCTGCAGGGCCTGATCACGCTGGATTCCCAGGGAAAACCCACTCCCAGTTTTGTTCTGATGATGCAAACATGCAATATTCTCTCGCACCCCCATTCTATGTCGAGAAGATGGAAAGGACAGCTAATAGCACATCTTTACGAATGTTGAGGGGGATCTCTGATCTCCCATGGACCTTACTTAGCATTATTAATGAAGTCATACTGGTTCATTAAGCAGTTAATAGTTTACCAGGCAATAGGACCCCAAATTCTGTACTAGAATTGCCTCATTCTCTTAATACCAAAAGAAGCCCTGGTGATGCAGTGGTTTAAAAGTTTGCTAACCAAAGCTTTGGCCATTTGAATCCACCCAGCTGCTCAGTGAGAAAAAGATGTGGCGGTGTCTCCATAAAGGGGACAGCCCATGGGTCAGTTCTCCTGTATCACATGGGGTCGGTGTGGTTGGAATCAATACAATGGCAGTGGTTTTTGTTTCTTTTTTGTTTTAATACCAAAATAAAACCAAAAGGCAGGGAGGGAAGAACCTAGGGAAACAGAAAAAAAAAACCCTAAAAAAACTACACCGTCAAGTTTTTCCTTCAGTGATAGCCGTGAACACTGAGGAGTCTGGATTGATTTTGCCACCTGGATAGATTGTGTCTGTATACATAAAGGAAAACATCAGAAGCTGCAAGAGATCAGGTTATGCAACCATTTTGTGTGCTGTAATAAAAGGTAAGTATACAAGAATTCACCTCAGCATCCAGAATATGCAAATGGAGCCACATGGGTAATGGCAGAGTAATCGGGAGGCTATTTTTCATGGTCAGACTGTGAAAACCTGTGCTCAGTTCATGTGGTGGGGTATAAGTTCTCTCTGTTTGCAGAGACACCAAGGAGGAAGTGTGGGAGAAACTTGGGGGCAGATGGCCCTCAGTTGCTCAGTGATGAATAACATAGTTTAAAGTCTAGTGGAAATTCTTAGCAGCTAGAGTATGTATTGCTCTGAGAATGGCTTTCCAATTCTTTGTAACACTTTGCTATCATCCTGTAACTCTGGGACAGCTTGGCCTGAGAGTACTTTATATTTCTTAGGTAGTTTTCTATTGTTGCTTAAATATCTGCATCTCCTTTTGGGTAGCTGGATTCAATTGCTATCCATTTATTTGTACAGTTTTTGCTTTCCAGGCAGAAACTAGGCTTAGTTATAGAAGCTCAGAGTAGGGAGTATGTGTGAATGGAGAATTTGTCTGAATGAGTTTAGGAAGCTTTGACCTTGAAGTCGGATATTTAGAGTATACAAAGAATTTTTCTTCAAACAACTATGAGATACCATCTCACCCCAGTCAGAATTGCAAAATTTAACAGAACAGCCAGCAACAAATGTTGGAGAGGTTGTGGAGAAACTGGAACTCTTATTCACTGTTGGTGGGAGTGTAAAATGGTGCAACCACTGTGGAAGGTGGTATGACACTCTCAAAAAGTTGCAAATAGAGATACCATTTGACCCAGCAATTACACTACTGGGAGACCCAAAGAGACCATAACTGACATTCAAGCAGACATATGCACACCCATGTTTATTGTGGCTTTGTTCACAATAGCAAGGAGTTGGAAACAACCTAAGTGCCCATCAACAAATGAATGGATAAAGAAGCTGTGGTATATTCACACAATGGAATACTATACTGCATTGAAAAGCAGGAACTCAAATGCAATATTATTCAAAATGGGTGACCCTGGAGGACATTATGCTGAGTGAAGTATCTCAGTCACAAAAGGACAAATACTGCACGATGCCACTGTTGTAAAACAGGATTGGCCTTGGAGTTGGGGGCAGACTGAGAAAGATGGGTTCAATAATGTATACTGCATTGAAATAGATGAAGGAGAAAACTGTTTAAAAGGGATAAGTGATTAGGTATTTTTGTCATGACAAGAGTCCAGAGCAAAGAGTCCAGGCATAGTGGAGTGGGCCTGGGGTAAGGGACTGTTAAACAATGAAAGAATTTTTCTTTTACTTTTCCAAGAGGGTAGTGTAGTATGGGGGGAGAGGGGGAGGAGAGGAAAGTGCAACAGTAAATGAATGGAAATCCAAAGTCTCTGTAAATTTTCATTGAAATTAATAATAAATTTTTAAAAAGTTCATATAAATTTTTTTTTCTTTTTATAGCTAATCTGGAGAAAAAGAACTAGGTATCCCCACATTTTAATCTGTTTACAGAAACCTAATTTTTCCTTGTGTGAAAAATTTTTACTTTAAAGATAGTAGAATTATTCTTTTTAGCCTAATCTCTTCACATTGAACTACTGTCTATAAAAACCATTTATATACATATTGTTTAATTGAGCAATTTTTTGGTAATGCTTTTGCTTGAACTCTTGGCCAAGATTGAGATAGTTCTCTCAACGGACGTTGTTCTCTTGCCTAGCTAAAAATGACAGTAAAAAACAAGCATGTATTAAACTAGAGAAATCAGTGAACTTCAGATTATTAGGCCTAGAGGGAGGAAAGAAAGTTCAGAGATGATGGATTTTCTTTTCCTTGAGATTCAAATGGCAAGTGCACATCTGCTGTTCTCAGCTTCTGTGAATGTGTTTGGAGGGAGGTGATCCATATCACAGGCTCCAGCAGCAGCAAGGGATTCAGCATGTGGAGGGCTTTTCCACTTCACTCCTCTCCTGCTGAGAAGAAAGAACAAAACCACAGTGACAGCCTCTGACATAAAGAAACATGTATGAATGTCTTTGTATGTTTGTGCAAATAGGGTTTCCTTCATGGAAATTTAGTAAGCTAATCATATTTTAGATTTTACTTGTGACAATGAAGAACTCAAAAAGAAAACCAAGTACATATCAAAACCAACCTAGCTTGGAGTCAGGAAAATTTGGTACTGGATACCTGTTGAAAGGTATGTCCTAGGAAGGGTAGGAGATCTCAAAACAGGACATTTTAAGCAGTTTGCTGTCCGGTATGGAAGCCACTAGCCACCTGGCAAAGTCTGTCATGTGTAGCTGTTAACCAAAAGCCTCTGGCTGTTTAAGATAGGCAGTCTCCTCATGTTAAGATTTACAGCCTCAGAAACTCAGGGGAGTCAGGATCAACTTGAAGGCAGTGAGTTTTCTTAGCCAGTGTGTGGGTACTTAACAAAAATGAAATTCAATTGTTTTGTCTATTAACCAATTTCAAATATTCAGTAGCCACATGTGACTGGTGACTTCTATATTGGACAGCAAAGAACATATGAAACACGTTGATAATTGCAAAAAATTCGATTGGATAGGATTTGTCTACATGGAATTATCAAACTTTCTATGAAGGAGAACAGTAGCTTCTGCTGCTGCATCTGCTGGTTATAAAGGTAATCATAAATAGGGTGTAAATAAATGGAGCTGTAAGTCAGTGAAAGTTTATTAATAAACACTGAAATTTGAATTTCATATGATTTTACATGTCACAAAATATTAATTTCTTTCCATCCCCCCATTAAAAAAAATGTAAAATCCCTTCTTAACTTGTGAGATATACCAAAATAAGACAGCTTGATTTGACCCATGAACTGTAGTTTTCCAACTCCTGGTCTAAAAGACTAAGAAGTCAAAACCTCCTTATTTTTTTCCTCTTCATTATACAGGACATTTATCACTTGAAAAATTTTAGTTGCTTGTCTTTCCAAGCTTGTGAACCTTCTCCAGCCAAAATTAGGTTTCACTGTAGCAATATTTACTTTCTTCTCTGCTTTGCAGACTAGTTCTCTCCGGTTGTAAAGTTATGTCTCCTCTACAGTAGATGACTTTCCTTCTCATTGCTGTCAAGTCAGAACTGACCATAACTGATCC